ATTTTAGAGTTATAACAGAGATTAGTCATCGAGTCAGTCAATCAGAGTAATGATTTTTGTTCTCAGATCTTCGTCCCCCGCACCCTGACATGCGCCCTCAGCATCCGGATTTCAGGAGCCACATGAGCACTGCAATACCACCGTTGCAAGCGCTCCCTTCCTGAACTTCGACAGCCTTTGCGCCGCCCGACTGGCGTTGAGGCATTCACAATCACACCATTATAAAAGAGTTCAATTTTGAATGGACGCTCGTGTACCAAAAGCTTTGTACCAAAGAATTTTTTCGGCGTATAAATGTGATTACTAAATAGTTGCAACTGTTAGATACATTTGTAATTAAAAATATCTCAAACTTAAATATAAATGCTTCTCTTACGGCAATTTTCAAAATAATATATTTTTAGGATTTTGTATTAATTTATTTGAAACTGTTACGACTTGATCGTTCGATTTACCGTTTTTGGCCAAATCGAAAACTTCCGGACCCTACAGTTACTGTGAACGCGGGACATTGTTAAAGTGCCGCATTTTACTTGGCACTTCTTTGTCCTCACCTACTCTTCTTCATCATCATCTCAATAGAATGTCTATAATAAGATCAGAAGAAGGCTAGAGTCACATTTACCGAGTTGAACACGCGAATATAATCACAACACCTCCCATATATGTTTTTGCTAGAATATCTCCTTCATGGTTATCATGATTAAAAATATCATATATGTTAATTAATGATGTGTTTGACAATTTAACCGTGTAATGACCGCGTAAAAAATCAATCACCCCATTTTGTTACGTGATCTTCGTAAGAGGCGACTATTGGATATTCCAGAAAGATCTCCTAATTTCCGATAGATGCAGATATTCTCGGTATCGATTACGCTAAGCGTAAAATAGACTAGTAATGCGGTCGCTAATATGTTTGTCAATCACACTCTTAAAGCAAATCCTTCCTACAACGGGAAAGGTCCATATCCATGTTGATGCACACGGATAGGGTTACAGTCGATTTTTTACTATTTTTCCCTTTTATGTCTATCGAGAAGCCGTTACGTAAATTAGAGTGGGATAAATAAAATGCAAACAAAGAGGCAGTATAGTACTTTTTAACAGAAGCCGCTGCGGCTGTCGTGACAGATTTGGGTTTTGTGGCAACAGTGGCAACTTCGGCGATCCAATGCCGTGATTTCGTACTTTTACTTAGGTAATTATAAGTCTACATGACTTTTGAAAAACTATTAACTATTACACTTGTCTATTGTATAAACCTAAGAGGTACTCGCCATTGCAAAGAAGTATATTATTAGTTGAAAGGTCAATGTAAATGCTTAATTTTCTTTTAATTTTTGATCTCATTGTGAAAGTACGGGCTGTTTACACTTTTAGATTTGGTTACATGTCCGGTGTTTGCATTATCAAACACATTTAATGTGTTGCCGTACAAACATTTTATAACCAAAATACCTACCTTAAAATTTCGTTTGATTTCAGTAAGCAGGTAATAAAAATATAACTTTATCTTTAAAAGTAAAACAGATATTTTTATAAAGCGAACATTGGACATGTATAAAATAAATTAAATTATAGGATAGAAAATAACTTTATATCAATAGACTGATGAAGTCATTCCAAATATTACTGCACTCCATTAGTTAACTTTCAAATAGGTACGATGTTGTTTTAAAAATATGAACAATTCCATTATCTATAATCATTCCATAAATAAATTTAAAAATAATGTACAAATTAATTAGTAAATATCAGTGTTAAATAACGAATGTTTCAAATTAGAACATATTTGTTCGGGACTTTCCATAGTTTTTTTTCACAGTTATAGTTTTAACCATAGATATATATATACTACGAACTAGGTTTCGCATTCCAAACATTCACTATGTTCTACTGAACTGTACTGCAGTCCGTACACCTGTTATTGTGGCTTCGATATTCATGCAGTGCGTAATATATACGTAATAATTCATGTGATAAGAAAATTAAATTAGCACATAGCAAAATAAACAAAAATTTTAAAAAATGTACTCGATTAACAATACAATCTACATAAACAATTATTACATACTGATCATTCTCATGACAATTTTCGCGCGTTTATATCAACTGTGCATGCGCGACTCTACCACATACTCGTAACACTATTACTCATGGACTCTACTGACTCCCGCACATGCGCGAAGACAGATTAGTGCACATTTTTTGTTTGGAATAGCTTCTCTAGTAAGTAGTACATATAACTCAATGGTTTTAACAAAATCCATTAACACAAATACAAAAATAAATATTAATTTCCTGCACACGTCACATAAGCACACTTTTTTAACAATTTTTTGTGTATAATTGGTCATACCAAAGTAGTGCAAAATATTGCATATCCTTTCACGATTCCAAAAAAAATCTGAAAAATACCTCAGATACGCATAGTTTAGGTATAGATGCGGTTTAGTTTGTTTTAATACCATGTTAATTAGTTTTCTATGTGAAATCCACAATGCCAAAGAATGTAGTTACTTTCTAAAAATGAAGATGTAAAATTTATCACACATGTAATCACACAGTAGTTATTAGTATGCCGTTACCCAGACAGTTAAAATATTTCAAATATGTACCGCTTACAATAAAATAATCCCCTTTCACTTATCGTTATAAATGTTAAGTGCCATAAAATCATAAAATTACGTTTAATCTAAGAAAAATATAATGTATACAGTGTAAGTTACACATAGATGCACCACGTACACTTTCAGTGTATACACCAAATCATTTAGAATTATCTATTACTCGTAGTAGATCAATTTTGTTTATTTGGTCGACCATTGTTTGAAGTTAAATAATTATATTGTTTTAAATTGTCTATTACTTGTAAGTATGTATAAAATTTGATCTATTATAAGCATTTATCGCCTCGAGATTTTTAAATAATTTAGTGGAAATGTTACTCATTGTAAATAGTGTATAGAATAAAGTTAGTTGTAAGGAACAATCCAAAGACACACGTGCAATCCTAACGTCATTATTATTATTACAAAATTACATTATAATAAGCATCTTTCACTTCAATAAATGACAATGTATAAAACTGTTGACTTTCATTTACAAGTTGACTTACTATTTTAATTTCCTTCCATCAATTCATCACCCCATATCGTCCCGTGAGAGTCATAAGAGGCGATACAATGGAAAATGCGAGAAAAAATAATATGGGTTCGAATAGATGACACAATAGTCATCCCGTCTACGCCAGAAATAAAATTTCCAGACTGACGAAAGGCATCAGCGTCAAAGGTGCAGGATGTCTGGTACTGCTACTGCCAACCCACCTGTCAAGCGTGACTAGGTTTGCCAGATCGGAAGACCAAAATAACTGAACAAATTTTGAAAATATCGGGATTTTGAGGTTGTTGTCGGAAGAAATAAATATTGTAAATAAAGAGTTTATTTTTTAATTAAGAGGCCACAAAAGTACTCGTTCTTTAAGGGAAACTAATTTAAGTACACTTCATTTCTAGGTTACCATAATATGTATTTGTCATTAGACTTTACTATAATGATTTCTTGAATTTACGCAAACACTACACATTAAATGAAACTATATTTACCGCGTTTAATTACTACTTTAATTTTTAAATTGCCGATGTTTTTTGATGATTTTCATGGTCACGGGTGCTGTAAAGCATCCGAAACGTCGGGAATTTAAAAATAAGTTAAAGTAGTAATGAAACGCGATAAAATCCGCAAATACTGTTTCATTCAAAGTCTTTACTACAGACCACCAATTTGAATCCTTTAGTAGTATTCAGAAAATATTTAAAATTCAAACAATTTACTTCAAAATTCAGTCTAATCACTATCTCAGCTTTTATGAAATCAAAGTCCATACGTTACCTTTCCGAGAAGCTATTTGTCTGGAGATTTTGAGTTTTATCTGGAGTCTGGAAATCATTCGGAATGTCGGGAGAATTCAGACGAAACCCAATCATCTAGCAACCTTAAGCATGACGGTTATAGCAAGTTATTCCTACAACGGGAAATTCCCGTGTCCGGAAGTGGATTTTACGGGCCGGTGATTATAACAAATGTATTTGCTATATTCACTTGTTATAAATATTGACCAGTATTAAAAATACAGAAAAATAGAAATAAGTGTGTAAAGGAGGAATTTAAAGCTCATTTGCAGTTCGCATGCTTTATTAGTTCAATCACAGAACCATAAGTAAAATTTTTTACGTGGTAGAGCCATGCATGGTGCTGCTATATTATAATTTTAGCATGAATGTACGCACTTAGATAGGGGAAAGACCACGTTCTCACAGAATACCAGCATAAAATAGCTGCTTAACGCTTCTGTGTTTCGTATGGTGAGTGTAGAGAACCGAAAACTCTTTTTACTGGAAACGAGGCATTCTACCTTAATCCTCAGGGGTGATAATGCTTCTACATTTTTATTCTCAATTGATAGCTGATATAGACGTCTATAGCCGCCTACACACCTAACGCACGAGCTCGCGCGGCAGCCTCGCTACCAAATGCCTCGGCTGGTGTGGACGTGCCTCGGGCTGCCTCGGGCGCACGTTGCCTCGGCCGAACGCCGTTCGAACGCGAGCCAATACGTTTTCGGTAAACTAGACGTGCTCAAAAGTGCCTCGGTGATCGCAGTTCGTTTAGTATGTACGGTGGTATTTTGCGTCGCGAGGCGTCACTATAGAGTTTATTTTAGTTGTACTGAAAGTAACTTTAATAAAATAATATCGTGAGCAATCGAACGAGTCGATTCGTTTAATACGATAAAATATGTAAAATATGAACATATGGTAAATCTTTAAGTAATTTATTTCCATATTGGTTGCGACGCTCATAAATTTTTCTAATCCAGAAGCGTCTAGGTCTTTTCTTAAAACGTGACTGTTTTCGTTTTTTTGAACAATAAGCAACTAAGAAAGTAGCTACAGCTGCAATTACACAACTGTACATTTTGGATGTTCGGGGACTTATAATGGCTCGGCCTGCCTCGTGGGGCGTGCCTCTGAGTATCTGACAAAACTACTGAGGCTGCCTCGCGAGCCTTCGCTCGTGAGCCGCCCACGAGCCTTCTCAGCCGCCGCGCCTGAGACACACCGAGGCTGCCGCGCGAGCCTTCGCTCGTGAGCCGCACACCGAGGCTGCCGCGCGAGCCTTCTCAACACCTTCCACACTCCGCGACCGCACACAGCTGCCGCGCGAGCCTTCGCTCGTGAGCCGCACACCGAGGCTGCCGCGCGAGCCTTCGCTCGTGAGCCGCACACCGAAGCTGCCGCGCGAGCCTTCGCTAGTGAGCCGCACACCGAGGCTGCCGCGCGAGCCTTCGCTCGTGAGCCGCACACCGAAACTGCCGCGCGAGCCTTCGCTCGTGAGCCGCACACCGAGGTTGCCGCGCGAGCCTTCACTCGTGAGCCGCACACCGAGGCTGCCATGCGAGCCTTCGCTCGTGAGCCGCACACCGAGGCTGCCGCTCGAGCCCGTGCGCTAGGAGTGTACGCGGCGTATAGGACACAGCATCCACTTATCATCAAGTGCAATATGTACTCTTTTGTCACCCTTATTCTATAAAAAAGAAACATAGAACATATTCCGTATTCTGAGGTTTAAATATTATTTGGCCATAAATATTTTATGCAAGCACCTCCTAACACTGCTTCCTGTTTTTTTTTTTAAATCAAATGTGATGATCTCAATACCTTTCGAAGTCCTCATTTTATTTTCTAAATCCGAAGGACGGCAAAATGACACGAACAGAGAAAGACACAGGACCAAAGAATTTACGATCAAACCATCATCGTTACCAAAACAGCACCGACTTTATGACTCCGGGCTGCTGCTAAGAACTTATTCACAATCAAATTCAAACCCAGGACCACATAATCAACAGTTGCGCTTACAACCACTAGACTAGACTAACGCTGGGCTAGTGTATATGGTAATTATCATCGACAGTTGGTCTAAACTTATAAAGAAAATTAGACCAGTGATATAGATTGGTTTTCTTCGAGTTGAATACCGTTTACAATATAAATATTAAGTGCATTAACATATTATAATCAATTATGAAAATAAATATCTTAAATGTAAAAGCTCTCTTAACAAAAAGACGGGGAGGTAACTGGATTTGAGTTCCTCGGAGTGAGTTCTCGGATTACACCGCGGTATGCAGGGATCACAGCGAGTTATTAAAAGCTTTTAGGCTAAAATTTCAGAATTCACGCCTGTAGTGTAAATTCCTGTTTTTAGATTAAATTATTTAACATTAAATTATGTGTTCAAGGGCTAAGAGCTCGCCACAAAATTCGCAGTACACGTGCAACTCGGGTTGATCTACCCTACCCTGTATCGTCCTGTAGGTGTCGTAATAAGCGACATAGGGAAGGGAAACAGGAGACAGTCAGCATCTTCCTGATAACAAATCTCAATAAAAACTGCTGTTGCCAACATGCTTCCCAAGCTTGGCAAATATCCAACCTATGAGGTAATCTACATATATTCAGCAATGGATTTTGCGGTTCTGATAATGATGAGGTTTTGTATAGAATAAGGACACAGTCAACATCAACTTCCATCCTCCATTAAGAATCAAAAAGCGTTGTCAACCCTGAGCACTAAGATGAAATACCTCATTTCCAGTCAAACTCCGGTTCTCTACACTCATCATACGAAACCCAGCAACATTGAGCTGCTACTTTACGCTGGTATTCTCTGAGAGCGTGGTCCTTCGGTCCTTCGTCCCCAGTCCACATAGCTGTAGCATGGCTCTCCCACATGTAAATAATGATAATTAGACTTAATGAAAAATAGGTGTTCTTAATACGATAATTTCATTGTGTAGTCTTCATCATATGAATATAGGCCTCCCCCATAGATTGCTTCTTAGGGGGGATTTTGCCACAGTTGCCACGCCTGGCGAGCGGGTTTTCATCAGCAGTTTTTTTAATTATTTTGAGGTGTTATTAGGAAGATGTTTCTGCCCATCACCTGTTTCAATTTCCCTCAACCGCCTCTTACGTACCTATAGTGATTGCCTTAAAACAAGAAAACATTATCAGGTAAAAGTTGTGTATCAAATAAATTCTAACCTGAACATAACATAAACAGATGGATTACTGTATTTTTAATGTATTATGTCTTAAATTACACATAAGCATCAAGCAAGTTAAGCTTATGTATGCTATAAGGATTATGTTGTATAACTTTCTATATATTCTATGAATAGGTTTTATCTGATTTAAAAATCAGCGCTAAAAATAATAACACTGAATGCATGTTGGTCCCACTATTGGGCACGGATTTCCTCACATTTCTTAGAAGGTTTTAGTGCAACGAAGTGTTCGCCGCGCTGACCCAATGGATGTTGATGGATTTTAAAGGACTCAAATTTTTTATAATTTCTCAGAAATGCTGGTTTCCTCACGATGTTTTCCTTCACTGCCGAACATGTGGTATATAAACACTTAAAAATGAAATTAACAAATTCCTTGGTAACCTCCTTCACTGCTCGTTAAGCAACTTTAAATTTCCTCATATCACCAACAGTTATACTAACTTAAATCCCACTTATAGCAACTTAGCAAGCGACAACGATCAAAATGCAATTATTTAACGCGCGTTAAAAACTTAATGAGTAATAAACCTGATGGTAACTATTGGTCGACAAAATATTTGCTAATCATTGATGGGCGACGCGATGTTTGCACAGCCATGATCGATTGCTTATTAAGCTAATGGTCGATGGTATCAAGCGGCTCGGGTGTTGGTTCTGTAACGTCGTGTGAGGTTGCGTTTACTTTTAGGTACTTTGTGTTTGGTGAAATTTATCCATTTTATATAATTTGACTGCCTCGTTAGTCTAGTGGTTGTAGTAGTGCGACTGCTGATCATGAGGTCTTGGGCTCGAATCCCGGGTCGGGCCAAAAAAACCAATTATTGAGTTTTTCCGTCAAGAAATTCTCAGTAGCCGCCCGGAGTCAGGAAGTTGGCGATATCTCACTCCCGTGTCTCGGAAAGCATATAAAACCGTTGTTCCTGCGCCTAATCTCTTTCCGGTCGTGTCAGTTTATCGTCCCATCGGATTATCAGAGTAAGGGAATAGAAAGTGCACCTGTGCTTGGGCATACAATTAGGCACTATAATCCTGCCCTGCGCCGATGGCTGGTCTGCGTTGAGGCAGGCGTCGTGACCGAAATTCGGTCTGGAGGACATTATTATAATTTTCATCGAATTCTACCAGCTCCAGTAGCTCCTTTATCTTTTTTTTTAGTTACCTATCTTTCATAGAATGGAGGGTTTGCTATAATCGCCACGCTTGACAAGCAAAACGATCGCCAATCCGATTTCCAGACGTCTCGCACTTACGACAACCACGTGGTGATTATTTTTTATAGGTTTCAAAAAAGGTAGTCGATATCAAGTTAGCTTAATGTATGATAACAGACAACCGTTGAGGAAGAAAGGAACTTAAGTGGCAGCCTCGTACCGGTAGGACTTGCAAGAAGTCGAATGATACAGTTCGCTCAGGACAGTGTTTTGTGCTATGCCTTAGATGAGGCCAATATTCAGCAATGGACTTGTGCAAAGGATGTAATGATGATGAAAAAAGTAAAACTAAATACGTCCCAGTATTAAGCAAGCAAGCTCTCATTATTGCTTATAATTGTTTAAATTCTGTGTTTTCGGACATCGCAAGTCCTTTATTAAGTATTTTATTTTTTAAGATATGCTTACTCTCGGTGTTTTCCTTCACCCTGGAGAAAATTGAAACTGCTCAACTTTATTTAAACCTGGACTGTTAAAGGGAGTATTTGTTTTGGTACTAAAATTCAATTCAGGCGATCTTTATCCAGTCGACTTTTCAAACGAATATTATATTAAATATGGTCACAGGTTCGTCTCTGGATGTGTATTCTTGTGCAATGTATGTTTTACTTTTTAATCTGCGTGTAATCTTTCAATAAGAAAGAAAAAACAAATCGACAACGCTAAAGACTCGAGTAAAGTCAGTCGCAGGAAAAGTCGCTCTCAATATTAGTTTAAAAATGAATCAAACTTTTGATGTGAAACGTAAAGTTACAGTTATTCCTCAGACTTATTTCTGAGTTTTAAGGAAAAGAAATATCCGCAGCGCTGTTTCAATGAGTGTTGACAAACTTCACATATCTTTGAAATATTTTTCACCTTAATTTCTGGGAGATGCTGGTTCACCGTGAGAACGTGGTAAATCAGCACTTAAAATTTCAAAAATAATTGGTTCCAGTGGGGATCAAGCCTGGGTTGCTCGTGTAGGTACTGTCAACTACGTCTCTAAGGAAGTTTTAATTTTATGATTATAAACGAAAGCTTTTCCTTGATGGAATCTAACAGTATAGCTACACAAAATGTATTACATTTATTAAAATTTAATGCTGTTTGCAATTATATCGATAATCGCCATAGATGTTTTTTTGTGTTGAAATGTTTAGTGTGTAGGTATGACTGTAGCGTTTTAGCTTTTTTAATACTAACATCATTTATAAGTTAGCGTTTATTCTCTGCAATAAAACTAACGTGTACCACGTAACGTAACGTAACGTTAATAACTTGTAGAATTTTTACTTCGAACAAATTGTTTTTTTATTACTTTGCTACTAAAATATCAACTAAAGGTAATTTAGATTATATATTAATGTATACATGGGCATACAAAAAATCTAAAAGACTATCACATAGTACGTAGCTTTATTTGATTACAGCGCAATGTAAACCCGCGTACGGCAGGAAAAAAAACATTTTGGATTTGGAAGTGAAGCGGGCTAAAGTCTCGTGGGGATGCTGCCGACGCTAAACGCCTGTTAGCACGCACTGCGGCCCGCACTATTGTCCCTGCGCAGGGCTGGACTTGGATGAGAAATTTAACTTAAAGAAATTTAACTGAAGTTTAACCTATACTATAACAAAAATACGACCTACGTTGTTGCTGAGCACAGGCATCCTTCCCATTTCTAGGGTGACGAGCAGGGAAGATTTTTCTGAGGTACCGGTGTTTTTCAACGCGTGGTAAGCAAACTACATCCTTTGATTTCTTTGATTTCTCAAACTTTGCGTAATAAAGCCATGCTGCAGCTATATTATAAATTTAGCACAAGTGGGATGGACCGGGAAGGACCACGCTCTCCAATAAATAATCCACAACACCAGCGTAAAAGAGCAGCTTGAGGCTGCTGTGTTTAGTATGGTGAGTACTTTGTTTTTCTACGCTCATCTTCTCTACATACTACCTTTTTTACTGGAAAGAAGCATTCCATATTAGTTCTCAGGTATTGAAACGCATCTTTATTTTGATTTTTATTCGATGACAGGTGTAGATCTATGAGACGCAACATCCACTTGCCTTCAGGTGGACTGTGTGCTCTTTTGTCAACCTTCTAATGAAAATAACTTATTTGTCCAC